GTCTTGCTCGTCCTTGCACAATTGGAGCAAGCTTCACACGTCGAGGCAGACGAGTCAAGTTGGTCGCTCTCACGGAATGGAAAGTTGACCACTCTCAGGGCACCCGCGTCGCATGCTCGTCTGCTCTTCCGGCACTGGTCACAGGCTTGATACTGTCGACGTGAAGTTTTGGAATAGCCAGCAGTAGCGGTTGACCCAGCAGCATGGACTGCCCGGTCGGAGGCGACTGTAGCCATGGTCGATGATGACGAGGACGGTGACGACGATGGAGAGGAATGAACATGCTCTGTGTCGTCGGCGGTGGAAGACGGAGAAAGAATTAAACTGCGAGGTTCAGTGTTGTCGCATCGCAAGAAGCGGAGTCGCACAGATCGGGACCAAGGCCAGACCAACTCTTTCTCCACCAGCAGCCCACGGCTCGATGGGCACGGCGGCACCACTGCTCAGCAGACGCAAGGATGCGAACTGTTGCGTTGTCGGTGGACACGGTGCAACCTGGGGAAGAGGCGCAGGGGCGAATGGGAGGGCGCAATCCCCTTCAGACCGCCACTAACTCTTGGAATTACGGATGATGGGACGCTCCGAGGGTCTCAGAGCAGGGCGGGATTTCTCGATGAGGACGTGTGCTGCTGGGCTGTGTGACGGTGGACAGGGATTGAAGGGATGGAGGATGGGAAAGAGGATGGCCGACGGCTGCGAGCGGGGGCAGCGAGGGAGCTTGAGACTCGAGAAGAAGGGTGAAGGGTGGATGCCTCGAAGAGGTCGCCTGGGTTGTGGTTTCCCGGCTGCCTTGGGTGCGTCTAAGCGCTGCAATTTGGGTTGTTGGCCAAGTTGGCGCTCCTGCTTCTGGCGGACGTTGATGGAACTGACGGCTCTGGCGGGTGCTGCAAGTGCTGCTGGTGGGAGCCGGAGGTGCCTGGCCAGCTTGTTGGAGCCTAGCGACTGACAATAATCATTAACCCTGATGATTATTTGCACTGGTCATTGTCCGTCGGTACCGTTAGCTGGCTTACTTACTTAGCGGCTTAGCTCCCTTGGCTCACTTGGCTCCCTTAGCTGGGCGACTAATGGCCGGAACACGAGCCTGTTCAGCCTTCGACGCCTCCAGAGTCCACGGCCCCAGTATCTCGATTCTCCAGCACCTCCACCAGCAGCCACCAGCCCATCCGCCCAACTTGTCAGAAGGTAGGTACAACTGCCATGGCCATTGCCCATGTCTCGGTAGCCGTCCCCATAATTAATCTGCCCTTCAATTCCCCGCAGGAAGTGGTATACGACGAAGACGGTGGGTGATTACCTAGTCCCTGCTGGCTGAAGACTTTTACTGGCCTCTGAAAGATTGCTTATACTTGTAGGGCCATTCAGCTACCGACCACCTACCTACTACCCTCCTTCAGGCGTCATCACCCGACCGCAGACAGCGAGCAACAAAAACAACAGGCTGACATTGCAGGCCAATTATGCACTTCGTCCGGGTCCCAGCAACTAGCTCAAGGGAGTTGCCGAGTTGTGGGGGAGGGTCTCGGGTACCCTTGACCTAGGGGGTGCCCAGTGGGTGTCCTGTACAAAATGAGCCTCCCTTTCTCCCTTGCCTCCCACTCTCGGCCTAAGCTAGGCTGCCTTACCCTTGTCCCCCGCCGGACTGCCTATTCCAGAACCAGGGAAGAACCAGCATCGCCATGGCCACGACACAGTCCATGTTTGGCCTGGCATGCGACAAGGCGTCAACTGGCCCCAAGGAAAAGATGAAAAAGGCACCCCTGGTCTATGGCAGATGGTCTCCATCATGCACAATGCTACAACGAGACAGATGGGCCCAAGGCGAAACAGGTACAAAGTACGGAGGATCGAGTGCCGAGGTTTGTTTACGACGATTTCCAGGGGGAACGATCGCCCCAGAAAAGGGCAAAAGAGCCACGTCGACAGGTCACATAATGGCCACATCCATCCATCACGCTGGCCAAAGCATGAGAAAATTGGGAACGAGACTGCCAATGCTACCCTAGTGTGGGACTCCAGTCAGTTTTGAAAGACTTCGGTTCTGGCATCTTCCTTCGACTCACGGTGCGCGAGACAGGTCTGTGCAAAGGCAATTCTTGCTTCAGCGCCTGGTCCGGTAAGCCTTTCGGGTTAGTTGCGAGCTTCTCCTCTTGGTTACCACGCAAAAGTGCCTTCCGACAAGACGATCCAAGAGTCTTGACCGACCTGATAGACTCCTCCAATGGCGACAGTTGGAAGCTCATGATACGAGTGATCGTCACTTCGCAATGATTCCGATGGGATACCCAAGTAAGTCATACATTTTGCTAACGTCAGTGTTAGCAAAATGGACCCGGCAACGATAGGACCCCTCGACACTAGCGCCCTTTCCCCCCCCCACCAAAAATCTACGAGGTACATCAGCCCAGCCTCGCTGTCTTCAGAAGATGCGACCCTCCAGCAGCACAGACCTGAAGATGACGGTCTTGACAGGGGCTTCATTGGTCTTGACTCATCCAGATACCATTCCCCACTGCATGAAACTTACCGGAACTCCAATTTTCACCTGCAAGCCGCCAGACAACTACCACGTACCATCTGCAGGAACTTTTCTCCTTGCATCAAAAGGCAAAGTCCACATGCCAGAGACCGGCTCGGTCCATATGGTCGTCCTGGTCTGAATTGTTCTCAGCCGCTCAATGTAGATGAAAAGCCACGTTCGACTCAAACTCGGTCACAGCCATTTGATCAGCGATCCTGCGGTTCCTATAATGTTTCTGCCGCTCCAACAATGCCCCCTTGGGTGGCATGCTCGTGTTCTCATGTAGCCGAAGCCGTAACCGTAGGGACCTTGGGTAGGCGGGAATGAATATACGAGCAGGCCGGATATCTCACCCTGTTCCGACATCTCTGGTTTCAGCCAACCTCATCCTCGAAGTGGACAAGCAGCACGTAGGATGCATCGGGCTTCCAGTACGAGTTACAAGTCTGCAATTCCCAGATTTCCATAGATCTTGTCTTCAAGGAGTTCGCCTCCGGTCGACTCTGCTACAGTAACTTGTAACTTGTAGATTGCTGCTGCTCCATTTCGATGCTTGTCTCGCTAAACAAGGTTTTGATGAGGGCACTGGCGGTCGGGTCTCGCTTCAAAAATTGGGAAAACAAGGATGAATTCAGCGTCGGATCCCCTTCCTTAGGGAAGTTAGCAAAGTGAAAACGCCCCCTAGCCATCAAGCTACCAGGATCCCATATGGCGAGCCCAAGTGCCAATGCCGCCGTCCAGGACACACATTGCCCATGCAAAGGTGTTTTTTTACGCTGGACACCCAGTTCGAAATGATAAATGAAGGTAGTCCAACCTTGGCAGCTGAGACGGAGAAAACAAAGCAAGTAGTTTGTTCTGTCAATACTAGGGCGTCTATCCAAATAACGGAGGCCTTGTGATGGCTGGAGAGGAGGGGTAGACCACCTCAAGGAGACTCCGGGAAAAATGACCCTGCCCTCGTTCTGCCAAAATGCATTGTCTGGTCACAGCTGAAAGAACGATTGACGGAGCGCCATACCGGCCGAAAGTGCTGGGCCGAGTTTGTTGTCAAATTCCGGCCTCTCTTTTGCATGCAATTGCTTGTTCGCACTGAAGGCTATCGGAAGATCAGACGTTCCAGCTCGAGGACTTACTAATGTCTCTGTCGCAAGAGAGGGGTCCGAAAGAAGGTAGTCGAGCCTGGAGAGGCCGAATTCTGGAATGGGAATCTCCCTAACAACGATAGTGCGCTGTTGTTGTTATTCAATCCTGTGTAGAGAGAGATCTTGTTGGGCTTGTTGAATCCAAACCAAGTAGCTATTGGATATAGCTTGTGACTGCATGGATTAGTTAGTCTCTGGATGGCCAAACGTATCGGAGAGGTAGGGGTCAGGCTTGTTAAACCCAAGCAGCAACGAAGCAAAGACGCCCTCGACACTCCCGGGGTTGAAGTTGCTGTTCTTCACATTAGCAACGGTACGTTGACCGAAGTATTTCCCTGATCACATTGTATATTGGCTTTCCGGATCAAAACGCCGAAGGCTGGCGGCGCCAGCCAGGAAGATTTTCACGCACGCTGGGTCTCATTTTCGATCGACCGCAGCGCCAACTTAACTATATATAACTGGTGCTCTGAAACCTCTGAAGTGATTGTTTGGTGGAAGAATTGAGGGATGGTCACCCCTCTTAGGAGAGAGCAGAGTGCTGAGACGAGCGTCTCAGCGAGGGAGATGCCGTTATCTCGAAATTTGATCCTTGGCTTTGTCGATGGAGAAATGTAATCAGCGAAGTTCATTGAGCGTTGAGACGAATCACTTACTCGACGCTGGACTGCCTCATAAGCCAGATGTGATTCATATGCAAAGAGTAAAACAGCTACGCAAACAAATGACATTAAGAATGGCTCCGTGGGGTGGCCTTTGTAGGGCTGGGGACAAGATCTGCTCTAGACCCAGAAGGACGTCGTGTTCGAGCTCTCTGCTTCTTTCCCAACATAGCAATTAAATCTGAGACTGCGCCATCGCGTAGCAGGTAGATATTCCTGCAACAGCATCGCTTGCCAACATGGGAAGATGGGTAGTTGTTAGCTCATCAACAACAGCTCGCAAATCAGAATCAGGACTCATAGCGTGAAGTGTACTTGCTATAGCCTACAACGAGCAATGACAAACCCATGTCAGCGCTGCGAAGGTGAAGCATGACCTCAGCAGCTAATTCTATGATGATGGTGCGGTCAGTCAAAAGCTGAAACAAATAAGAGTTACCTAGGTACCAATCTGGACAACTCACGTTTCTCAGCGCAGGGACTTGCACAACATGACTGACGATGTCTACAGTTGTGGAGTCGAACGACTCCCCCCAATGGTTCGAAATTGCGATGCAAGTCCCATTTCAAAAATTCTCGGGCCAACAGTTCTAGTTTCCCAGTAGGAATGTATTGAGAATGATGGATGGCATATTGCATGGCATTGTTGGGATCACTCCGGCCGAGAGAGTCTCACGTTTTGACCACACCGTTAAATTTCTCGGCCGGCGCAAATCGACGGATCCTGCAGTCAAGAGCGGGAGCAGGATCGTCGGCAGTGTCATAGTCGTTTGAGCGGCCAAAGATGTGTATTGCGATCTCTTCATCTTCCCAGCAAAGGATGCTATCATCCAGCCACTGATAAGTATCCGTCAAATCCCTGGAGAAAAGTTCTGGGCAAACAATTTGTACAAGAAGAGTCTGCCAGCAGGAATGTTCTGGTGTCGTACCGGATGCCGTGAGCTTGATGTCAGCGAAATTGACTCGCGCAGACAGCGATATGGACAGAGTGGCCCTCAAGCCCAACCGCAAGCAGGCCAAGCAAGCCCTACTGATCTTCTATTGTCAAAGTTAGCTCAGAATCAATATAAAAGAAGCCGACATACTCTTTTGCGGACGAAGTCGCACCGAGGGCAAGGACTAGTCCATCGAGGAGTCGGATCACAAGCTGCCCGCAGCAACTGTTGAGTCCTGTATTGTATTGCGATTTGAGTAACGGCCGAGAGCACTTGCTGCATCAGATTTTGTTGTTGATGGAGCCGGTTTTTTATATCCTGGTGTAATAGTTGATGGCTCGCCTGAAAGCGTGTCATGGCGCTCGAAGTCTTCTCGGCAGACACAGAAATTTGTATGGAGCAGGCTCTTCAAGATAAGGCGTCGAACATTGGTTGCGATGCATAAGGTCTAGACACTGGTTAACCTACAGAGCGGCAGCATTCGGAAGGCTTCCAAGGCTAGATTTCACATTTTTCAATTGCTCACGTAGTCCCGCAATCTGGGGACTTTTCATCGTCGGACCAACCTTCGATGCTCTCGCTTGGCTATCGGGTTTCCGCCTGAGAAGGCTCCGGTTAACAACATTGTCAAGATCAACCAACAGTTTCTGAGCTCGGTTGAGCACCTCAGAAAAGCTCCTACGCAGGTTTTTTGGTATCTGCACACGAGTGGTGTCGAGGATGTCTCTGCCGGCGGCAGTTATCTTCTCGAAGTCGGCCAGATCACCTCGAATAGCTTTGATTTCTTCATCTGCATGTCTGAGTCGATCGATCTTCTTGACAGCTGCACCGGCCGCGCCGATAACAGCAATCAAACTCGCGGGGACTGAAAGAGGATCCATAAATTGATTGCTGAGAAGCGATTGAGAGTGAAAACAGTTAGAAGGGGAGGGAAAGAATTGGAAATCGTCGAGAGAGCAAGAAAGGCATATTTGCACATCTCACGATCGTACCCTTGACGGCCTTGCTCAGCCTCCCACTCAGCCAAGTATAACGCCCCCTCAATAGCACTTTACTTGTAGAGAATGCGATTGAACGTTCGCCGCAAGAGGCCCCCAGTAGGCAGCCATGGGCGGTTGTCGGGCGTGGCACGCTTCGGCAGCAAGCAAAGGCCGTGAAGGTGGCGGCTGGTGGGCTGTTCAACTGGTCCTCGCATCTTTGGAAATGACCGTCGCAGCTGGCGAGCTGGCGAGTTGGGTGCAGTTGGTGCAGTTGTGCCGGATCAACAGTATTTCCGAAAACCCGAAAACATTTTGTCGCAGGCTTGGAATCGCAGGACGTGAACAAGTAAAACCACTCGTCCTAGAATCACTCGGTCTATAGGGTTCTGCTTTGCGCTCTCAGGCATTCCGATGCAAGTATCCTACATGGACTTCGCCCACCCGAGGGTTAACTGAATAAAGCGCAAACACATCTCAACTGTTCGAGGAAGCCTTGATCTTTTACAGAAAATGTACAACCCGCCTTACCAAGGTTGGTCTGCACAATTACTCCCACTCTAGGCAGAAATTGACATCTGAATAGTACCGGGGCAGTATGGCGTGCCGGGAGACTATGGGAACTTTCCTGGCGCACCACCTGGAATGGGTAGATCGCCCTCAAGTCCCGAGAACAATTGAGACTTACGATACTGACGGGTTTTTGACCAGGTCCTCCTCCTGGTATGGCAGCTCCAGGCATGGGCGCTCCCCCTGGAATGCCGCAGCAAGAGGCTCATCAATCAGTCAGACCTGGCTCTTTTCCTCCCAATTTCCAGCCACCCCCCAACATGCCAAATATCAATTTCTCTGCACCTGTCATTCGCCTAGGAACCTCGGGACCCTCTAAACCCGACGGCCCCGGAGGTCGAGATGATCGAGAAAGAGGCGGACGAAGGCCTGGACTAGGCGCGGGGACGGGTTCAGAATTTCGTGGCGAAAGAGACCGGATAACTCAAATCCAGCCACCGACGAAGGAAGAAATCATAAAAACCCTCTACGTTGGTGGCATCACCGAGGGCGCCGGAGGAGATGAGGGTATCGAAAGGATATTGAATGCTGCAGGAAGTCTACGGAGATGGGTCCGTGCTACGGACGCCGATGGCAAGCCTTGCAAGTTTGGTTTTGCAGAGTACGAAGACCCCGAAAGCCTCAGTACTGCCATAGAAGTACTAAGGGATATTGAGGTTCCTGTCAAGCGACAGACTGCAGCTGAAGTGGAGGCCACCGAGGACGCCGAGGTCGAAATGTCAAAATTAATGGTACATCGAATTGAAGCAACTTTGGACCTTGTTGTACTGACATGGGTGCAGGTTGTCGCTGATGACAATTCACTAAGTTACATTGAACAGTGGCAAGAATCACTGGGTGGGAGGGATGCGGATCAAGTACAAATGCGACTTGATCATGCCCGAAGTGCGTTGGATGCTGTCATCAAAGATCTTCGCAATCCCACAGCCCCAGCACAGAAAGACGAAATGTCAAACATTGACCGAGAAGGCGATGTTAGCATGACAGACGGGGCTCAAGCAGATGGTGCGACTGGAGAAGTGGTCACGATTCCCATCGCCATTGACGATGAATTATCCGACATTCCAGCAGACATGCGTGAGACTGTCGCAAAGGAAATCGCAGCATTCCGGGATCGGAGCAATCGTCGCGATTTGGAGCGCCTAAAACGGGAAGAAGAGATAGAACAACAAGAACGGAATCGCATGATGAATGGTGACCGCTTTAGTCGTCTTGCTTCGCCACCTCCTTCGGCACCTGCTGGACCTGCCGGCACGAATGGCATACCAGTTGGTCCAAGAGGAGCGCCTGCCGGTCCAAAAGGCTTTGGCGTGCAAATACCTAGAGAGTACCAGAAAGGCGTTGTTTTGGTAAATGGAACGGCAGTCAGTGGAGCCTCTGCATTTGAAGACGAAGACACCGACGCAAGCGACGAGGAACTTGAGCGGCGACGTAGGGAGAAAAGAGATGCGGAGCTTGAAAAACAATTCTTGGATCAGGAACGTCGATGGCTGAATCGGGAGCGGTCACGGACAGAAGCCGTTGAACGCGTAAAGAAACGCGAAAAAGACGAAGCAGGCCGCATGGAGGAGGAGAAGGAAGCAATGCGCCAACGATTGCATGACTGGAATGACGACACCGAAGCTTCCCGCAAGACTGAGGAATACTACGCTGATCGGAGCATGTGGATCCGTAACAGAGCGGGCTTTCGCCAACGTGAAATCGTAAACGACGATGCGGATCGTGCGGCCGAGCAGCGCGAGCGAGCTCGAGAACTCCATCAACGTGAACGGGTGGATGCCATGGCAGACGATTTCCTCAGTCGGCAAGAACAAGAACTGCTCGTACAAGAACAAGATCGGGAAGAGGAAGAGCGCGCACAAGCCTCGCGCCGTGAACCTGCCCGCTTCAAGCTATCCTTAGGGGCAGCAGCACAGAAAGCGGCAGCGCAAAGCGCCTCTCAGACGGTAAAACGCACGGTTGCAGACGTGGAGGGTCTCCTTGAGGACGAAGAGGAAGAATCCAAAGCCGGCACACGCAGAACGCTCATACCTATTGAGTACGACGCCTCGACAACAGCTGGCATGTCAGAAGAAGAGCGCGCCCAAGCGGCTCGCCAGCTCGCTGCGGATATCCCTAACGACAGAGAGGGGCTTTGGGCGTGGGATGTCAAGTGGGAGTTTGTGGATGAGAGTATCATTGAAGAGCGGTTGAAGCCCTTCGTGGAAAAGAAGATTGTCGAATATCTCGGTGTGCAGGAGCAGATGCTGGTGGATGTGGTTGTCAATGCTCTGAGATCCAGGGGCAAGCCGCAGGATTTGGTAGGAGAGCTCGAAGGGGTGAGTGCTCCGTGTCTTTCTTTGAATCTGATCTCCAAATGTGCAAGAGGCTAACATGTTCCAACCTCGATAGGCTCTGGACGAAGAAGCCGAAGTCCTCGTCCGCAAACTCTGGCGCATGCTCATTTTCTTCTCAGAGTCCGAGAAGAGAGGTCTTGCGGCCTAGCCCTAGACGGAAAGGGATGAACAGACGCAGAAGAAGCGCCTGTCTCAGTCGCCGTCCTGCATCCTCAAAGCTCACAGATTGCAAGCTTCAGTCATGGACCCGTTCCGCGCAGCCGTCTAGCAGATCATCACTGCAGGAGGGTACCATTCGTCCTCCATGTGTCAGTCCTTGGACTGTGGAAGGCATCGGTGCACGATAACAACATCGGCGCCAATATCAGAGAAGGTGTCGAAGCAGTCCCCTGTCCTCACTACTAGGGCAGAAAGAACGGGTCTTGAGACAAGAAGATGATCTGTCAATCTCACGCGATGCACAAACCGCCTCAACCCCCCTCCCTCTCTAATCAATCTGCTCGGCATCCCGACCGTGAGCATCTGGAATCATTATTCTTGCCAAGTCAAGCTGTACAATATCAAGATGGGTCATATGATATGTGTTTTTTATGCCACCATTCAAGAAACTCGGTCTCTTCCGCCTCCATGCTTCGACCGTGTTTACTACCCAGTTGGGCGATTTTCGCTCGCGCTCTTTGCAGTTGTCGTGGCTTCGATCCCCTCCCTTCTTTATTTGTTTTCGTTTTCGTTTTTTGTTGGTTCGCCTGCCGGTCTATCTACCTACCTCTATGGACACTCTCAATCATCATCGCCCCATCCGCCCAACTCTCTCCCCACATCCCCGACATTCGGCCATCCAAGCCCTCCATTGCTCGCGTCCAAGCCACTCCTGCGGACCATGTCCGCGCCACAGAACTCGACGCACCGCGCAACAGCAACCTTGACGCCACGCAGCACGTCCTTGATGCGCCTCATCTTGGGATTCTCGTCGTCTGTGCCCCGCGCGCCCAACACCCTCCCCAGGCCGCGCACGTGCCAGAGACTCGGCCCGCGCAGGCCTTGACACGTGATGCTCGTGAAGGCCACGAGCTCCGTCTCCAGCGCCGTCAAGGCCGCGAAGTCGCTGAGGTACAGGCCGTAGACGATTGCGAGTTCGTGCAAGCCTATCTGCGCCCGGTGCGGGCCGAAGGTCTCGAAGATCCGCGGCCACAGCGTGCCGTAGATGGATGTGATGGTTTCGATGCCGCGAGCGTGCAGGGACGGAAGCGTGATGTCGGACCTACAAAGACGAAGCGTATGCTTGTTAGCCAAACTGATCTCAGGGCATATACAGGAACCTGGGCCGTCCGACCAGGTTCCGAGGGATGGAGGTATGGGTGCATGAGATGGGATGGGGATGAAATGAGGAATCAATTCTACGCACCACTGTCGCAGATCCAACTCGCCGCGCTCCTGCTCTCCTTTCCCATCGGTCTGCCTCCGTGCGAGGGGGATCAACCCGGAGAGGACTTGCGGCGCACCAATCAAGACGATCTGCTTAAGGAGAATGTCACGGAGCCGGTCCGAGAGTCGGGACCTAGCTTCGGACGTCGAGAAGGACGCATCGTGCGCAGTGATGTACGTCCAGAAGTCTGCGAGAAGCTGCGGTTGTGGGGACACCGAGATGACAGTGGCCTAGGTGCGAGGGGAGACTGTTAGAAGAAACCATGACTGGAAATATATGCTTGTCTTCAACCCAGAGGGAAACTCCGAGACGGAGGAATGTTAATGCTTTCTTTGCACCTCAAGTGTGCTCGAAGAAGCCCGGATCCCTCCCTAGGCGAGGCGAATGCTCGCCCGAGCCCCCCACCCCCTCCTTGGGGTCGCAACGAGCTCGACCCATTCGCTATTCCATGCAGATTGTTTCCATCCCCACAACTTCGCAGAACGCAAAAGGAATCTGCTGAGTCTCGCTGTCCCAACGCAATAGACCCAGCAATATATTCTGTAAAAAGCCATCGAAACAGGAAAAGAGCCAGGACCGGCAGCGAAACGACAAGTTGGACTCACGATGATGATGTACCAACTCTCCACGCCCATCTCTTCCAGCAGCGACTCCTTCACATCCTTGCACAAATCTTCCCATTGACCCTTGGTTGGCGATGCCGATACCGATGTTGAGTCACCACCGTCAGTCGACATTTTCCTGTTCGGTACGGGCCCAGATCTGCCAAGAAACCACCCTGTGGAAGAGGGCAATGAGCGTCCCTTAAAAAGGTCGGGTCAAACGCCGGAGAGAACCTCGTATGAAAAGAAAATCGTCCCCTCGATGGTTCATTCAACCTTGCGCAGAGCTAGATTCCCTCGCCTTGAGCGGCAGGCTTATATAAACACAAGTCTCATGAAATGAAAGCGGGAACGAAACAAATTTTTCATAAGCTCGGGGACCGGCGAGAAATTAAATAGGTCTGTATTCCTCTTGCGGAGAGCCACAAGTCAGAAAAGTGTTTGCGGTCGTCAGGCTTGTCCAATAAATGAGCGAGCAAGCCCTGCGGCCTTAGGAAAAGCGCTGTCTCCGAACAAGGCCGAGGGTGACGCTGATCTCACGTCTCTCGCCGCTCTGTCCCGATAACTCCGCAGCACCAATAGAATGGCGAAGACCCGTTGCGTTAGGCTCGGCCCGAGCCCTGGATCACCGCACGCCACATCATCCTTCGACAGAAGAATGAATGTTACCGCCTCCCTATATAGATAGGAATCAGAACTGTAGACACAGGTGATGCCAGATTCGTTGGAGGGCTCTTTCTTATGCTTTACAGCTGCTAGACGTGTCGTGTAGTCAAAACTGCTGCTTCACCTTTGCAAGTCGGAGTGGCGTAGCTGTCAGCTTGATGGATTCCTCAGCCGTTGTAAGTAGCTCGAGCTGGAAGTTAATGGAATAGCGTAGTGCTTTGGCCAGCAACATTCGAAGTTGCCATATCCACTTCGTAGCATGGCAGGCGGGAAAAGCGCATAGCTGTTTCCCCAAAGGCGCAAGTCAAATAACAGGAATTACCCGTTATGCAACTCACAGCATCGTCGAAGGAATCAACAAAATATGTCATCTAACAAGATGTGTGGTCCATCAGACTAAGCTCCTGCGAGTGAACGACACCAAGCTTCAAGCCATGCGAGTCCCTCTAATGTTCAGGACTTCACCGTCCTATCTGAATCACGATCGGCAGCCCAGGATCTGGACGAAAGTGGGGGTTGAGATAGCAGTGTTCCAAGATGGTAGAGGTTATATGTTGTATCGAATCAATGGTTTTGTACCTAACGTTGTGTTTATATCAGCGTTCCGCTAACTCGCAGATGCGACAGTGCTAGTCCTCTGGGACACCTGTCGGGTGCCTACCTTATGAGTCTCGCTGGTGGCTTGACCCACCTTTGTCCAAATTGAAGACTAGGTGCCACCTCAATTCACCACATCGACGTCGAGCATGGCTGGTCCTGCTTCTGATGCATCACCGGTCAACCATGCAAAACTCCAGAAGTTCATTCGCTTCTCATGCCTCACGGTATGGCGTTCGGAGGTCTCTTCTGGCCATAGCAGAAAATATGGTCTTTCGTCTCCGGCGGAAATGTGAGGTTGTGGTTGACGGAGGGCTGAATCGGGGTAGAACTAACCACAGGTTCTGGGTTGAGGATGCTGCCTCAGTGGTAGAAACAATACGGTCCCAAATTGACGCAATGAAGTTGTCGAATCTCGGCAGCTGAAGCGCCCACGCGCGTCGTCAAGAGGAGCACATCACCCTGCATCATCCTGCGAGAACACGGCCAGTACGCCAATCGCTGGGCATTGTTCAATAGCTGATTCTCCACCGCAGATCCCGGGCTGTCAGGGCCCGAAAATCCTCGCAAGAAATCCACCACCGCCACTTTGGCTCGAACTGGGAGACGGGTCACCCTTCTTCATCTCTTCGTCAACCCACTTTGCCATTGCCTTCTCGTTACTCAACATCCTCGTGTCGACCAGTCGCTCCGTGACTCTTTCCGCTCTCCGACCCCCGAATCCCATTAATGTAGGCATGCTCCTGACTCCGTATTCCACTCCAAGGTCCATCATGTTGCCGTTGCTTATATCTGGAGAGTCCAGTTCGATCTCTGCAAAAGCGAGAGACGAGTATCTATCTTCCGGCGAGGGTGGTCGAGTTTCGACGAGGGAGGTCAAAAGTGGCGTTATCGTGCGGCAGGGCGTACATGTGGAGGTGGTAAAGAGGGCCAACATGAGCGTGTTGTTGGCGGAGACGAGGCGGAGGGCATCGTGGAATTGGGGCGGAGTTCGAAAAGGAGTAAACACACGATTCTTTTGTGAGAAGGAGGGAGTTGTGCTGAACAATTGCGCTAGGGGTAGTATGGGTATTCTGTTAGAGGACCGAATCCTTAGCAGGGAGGAAGCTTGAACGGCATGAGGAACAGAGATGCAAAAGCGAGAAGAGTAAGAGACAAGTTTCTTCATGTTGCAGTTTCATGCATAAGGGTTAGAGGAAAGTTGGTATCATTGAAAAAAGAACGGCGACGTACTTCACGGCTCGCGCCACTGACGACAGTAGCTTGCGGAAGGAAACATCCAACTCCCTTTTCGGGTTCAAGAACCCGCCGTTTTACGGGAGTCATGGCTTGAGTCTGATTCTGCACGGCGCTGCTTTTAGTTGTGCTCTCGCGCCTTCGGAGCTATTATTGCTCAGGCTGGCAGCTATAGTAATGATAGCAAAGTTGGCTACAAAAGAATTAGTGGAAGTTGAAAATATGTGTCCACGAAGAGGTATATGTCTTGATTCTGTTTCTTCTCAGGTCACAATGGAACACGGTCCAGCCTTGCCAACGAGGCCCGTGCCCGCAGGCCAATTCGTATCGCCTGGATAGCGTGTGAGCTTGGGGCTTTCCCAGGTTAAGGCACCATATTGTTCTCAACGTCGTGCGCTTCCTTATGCCTTGCTCATGGAGCTGATCTCCTCAACATGTACGGCGGTGTTGATCACCTTCTCTCCACCCAGATTCTCGTTAGTCTTAGCGGCCACGTCCTCTCCATCAAAGATCTTGGTGATCTCTTCAAGTGGTAGATACTTGGTCTCAGCGTAAAAGAAGTAGATAATAAAGACCTCGAAGAGCAGGAAAACGCAATAGACGATATAGTACTTCCACCCAAGTGCATTCATGGCAATCGGGTTGACGTATTGGTTGAAGAAGAGAGCGCCGTAGAGTGCGTATTCCATGATGGTAAAGCCCTTGGCACGTAGATTATACGGGAGGATCTCGGTGGTGTAGGATGCAATCAGGCCAGACCTAAAGAGACGGGTTAATTGTGGTCTCGGAGCGCAGTGGGATAGGAAACCACGTACTTGAAGTTGTAGAAGAGAGTGTAGACAAATATGAATGCCAGATTTCCCTTCCCATAGGCGAGCTGTTTGGTAGCAGTGTAGCGCTCGGCCAGGACAGTCCAAATCACCCAAGATACGAGACTGCCTACGGTCGAGATTAGGTAGATCGGTCGGCGACCCCATTTGTCGACGAAGAATGAGAAACCCACGTTAGTGACCAAGCTAAAAGTCGTGATGCCACCATTGATGAGGAGTTGTTGATTGGGATCAGTGATGCCGATATTATCCAGGATGAGGTTGAGGTAATAGCTAATCAAGCCATTTCCAGACCACTGCGAGAAGAGACCGACTGAAATAAGGATGATAAGCCTGCGGCGGTTGCCCTTGGTTTTGAAGAAGTCCAAGAAAGATGAAGTCTTCTTCTGCTGCTTCTCCAGCGCCAGAGCAGTGGCAATCTCGGTGTATTCGATCTGAACGACCTCATCGTGCTCATTGCCGTCGGCGTGGTACTTGGCCAACACCTGCATAGCCTTTTCAGACTTGTCCTTGTTGATATAGTAACGAGGTGATTCTGGCATGAACCACACGACTGCCAACATCCACACAGTGAATACACCTTGAATCAAGCTGGGAGCTCGCCAGGCCCAGTTGCTGTTAATCTTTAAAGTGCCATAGGTGACCCATGCAGCGATGAAGGCTCCAGATTGGTAGTTTGCGGCTTGGATGGTGACCAGCAGAGCACGATCTTGTGCTGGGGCAATTTCAGCGATCAGAAGTGGCGAGGCACAGTTGACAATGATGTCGCCAAAACCCAGGATAAATCGGGCACCAACGAACATGCCGAAGCTTTGTGCGGCAGACTGAAGAGCAACACCAACAAGCATGATGGATGCACCGATGGTCAGGGTTGTTCGTCTCCCGAGGCCATCGAGCATGAATGGAATGAACAAGAGACCAGCAAGTGCGCCAGCGCTCATGACACAATTGAACAAGCCTAAAATCGAACCTCTTGGATGGTTGAAATAGGTCTGCCATAGCGGAAGGGACTGCAGGCCGTTCATCATCGAATTGTCATAGCCATTGGCAGTGTTGGTGCATATCAAGGCAAAGATGTAGAAGTAAAGCCATCTCATCGTGGAGGACTTCCACCATTTGACCCGAGGAAAGACTCTGCCTGCAAGGACAAAGTGGCCCTTGGGAGGGACGAAGAGCTGGGGATCTTTTGCCATTTTGGTGCAGTCTGGAAGACAGTGATTGAAGCAAGTGAGAGTCGAGGAGAATTCTGGAATGCTAGACAGGGTGAAGACCTAAGGGGCATGAAGCATTGTTACCAAGTTATGGTAGTGGCCATAAATGATATTGAGAGGAGTCCAATCTGCCTGAATTGGTCTCCATTGTCGCGTGCTTTGTAGAGTGAAATCAACAACCGAGGTCTTAATTGGCCCGGTTGAGGCCATCTCAGATGATTTGTTTTACTCCTGAGTGTGGTCAAAGACGCAAAAGTACCGCCACTTGTCGCAGCCAGTTGGGTCAGTGTATTCAGTATCAGACCGGAAGTGTATGTTATCGTAGAGGTGAACTGAGCTAAAAGGTAAGTCGGGGAACCACCGGGAAGCCACCGGGAAGCCACCACCGGGCGAACCACCGGCTTCTTACTGAAAACATGTTGCTTGATGTGGTCTGTGGACGACTGTTGCATGGACACTTGGAGGTTATTAGCCTGAAACCTGGGAAAGGAGAACACATAGGAGCCAATCGAACCGAGATGTCGAGGGCCATATTCCCCGTGGGGCGCAAGGCTGAGTTCCGGGTATCGCTCTAAATCCGATAAGCGGCACAACTCCGACAATGTACTTTGGAGGGAGACTCAGCGCCATTCAGGCTGAATTCTGGGCTCCAAACCTTGCAGCCAAGGTCGGGTGCAGCGTCGTCCAAAGCGGTGGTCAAGACTTCAGCCACGGGGTTGCGAGGAATATTGTACAATGCCTCAACGTTGGCCACACCTGCTAGGATGATAGATCATTTTGCTCGGCACCCTAAAACGGACATATTTACGTAGACAGGGGCCCGTTGAAGAAGGGACTCGTACGGCCAGCGTGAATCTGCAAGTTTCTTTTGCCGGGCCCTTGGTGACCGTTCAGTCGAACAGTCCCCTGATGAACCCAATTATCCCTGGCTTCGCGCCGGACCCTTCCATTGTCCTCGTCGATGATACATACTACCTCGTGAATTCCAGCTTCCACATATTTCCGGGCCTCCCCATCTATGCATCAAAAGACCTGGTGTCATGGCGACACATAAGTAAGCTTCGGAGAATCTCGTGCAAGCCTGCTGAGTGTGATATGGGTTCTGATACTTTTCTCAACAGCAAACGCGTTCAATCGCCGCGAACAGCTCAGTCTCAAGGCCTCTGAGACAAAACACAGTCCACCAGGCGAATGGGGAGAGGTCATGTCGGCCACAGGCGGCCTTTATGCGCCGACCCTACGCTATCGTGACGGGACATTTTATGTCGTTTGCACAAACATTATTCGAGGCGAGGGTGACGACGAGGGCGAGAGCAAACAGAACTTCATTATAACGACAACTGACATTTACTCTCATAAGTGGAGTGACCCTGTCTTCTTCGACTTTGATGGTATCGACACCAGTCTCGTTTGGGATGAAGAAGGAAAGGCATATCTGCACGGCTCTGCAGCCCCCGGTCCAATGACAACGATCAAGATGTTTGAGATCGATGTCAAGACTGGTTCAAAACTCAGTGGTGAGGAGCTCATCTGGAGAGGCACTGGTGGCATCTGGCCTGAAGGACCTCACATCTATCGAAAGGATGATTGGTGGTACTTGGTCATTTCCGAAGGCGGCACCTTTGAAGACCATATGATCACTGTTGCTCGGAGCAAGGATCTGTACGGCCCATACGAACCTAACCCTCACAACCCCATATTGACCGCAAGTGGAACACACGAATACATCCAGCACACCGGACATTGCGATTTATTCTGCGATAAGCAAGGCCAATGGTGGGGTGTCTGTCTCGGGGTACGCAAGGACCCGAAAAAGAGGTATATTATGGGACGTGAAACATTTGTCACCCCGGCTACGTGGCCTGAGGGTGACTGGCCAACGCTGCAACCTGTGAAGATGGCTCATGAAGCTGTCTACAGAAGGAAAGTCGGCAAGCCAAGTGCTCTGAGCTCCGAGCCCCTGGTGGACTTCTGCTATATCCGCGACGTTGATCTCCGCAAGCACAAGATTTCCCCTGACGGAAGGACGGTCGAGCTGATATCTAGCAGGGCTGACCTATCGGACGCGCGGGGTCAAGTATCGTTCGTTGGAAAACGACAGAGGATGCTTGATGGTCGATCGCACGTCGTCCTCCTGGCGCCGCCTCGCGGTATAGCCGGCCAAACCGGCCTCGCCATATACAAAGACGAGTTCCGGTATGCTAGGATCTACCACGACATGCTGACCGGCGAAATGGTCCTTGAAATCATGAACGGTCCGAAAGAGATTCGTCGACTCACTCGAAAGGAATGTCCTGCAGGTAAAGATATCGAGCTGCAACTGGAGTACAGAGAAGACTCGTACACATTCTCCTTCAACACAGTCGGCGGAGCCACCGAATTCGATCCGTTTGACACGATGGATCTGGTGGGCCCGGATTTCACTGGACCAGTGATCGGGGTCTTTCTGACATCCTCGGAGGATGGGACGAGCGTCATCTTCCAGGATCTAAGAGTGGAGTGAATGAATCATATAGCATGGATGGGGATCTTGCCTATCTGGAGAACATCCCTACTCGGTTGGAAAATGCCAGGTGTGTTGGCAACTCCAAGTATGCCCATTTTCTTGGGGTGTTGGCCGGCTAGGAGGTACCTTTTGGCCACCTTCTTAGGGGCTCAGCCTCGCCGAGATCTCAAAGCCTGTCTAAAATTCTAGTTGTGTCTGCTCGAAGTATTCTCCACAAATGGGCCCGGATATCTTTGCCACAGATGCTGAAGAAAACATCTCCTGGAGTGTCTGTACTGATCATGACTGGAAACTCCAACTTAATGACTTGCTTCGGCAATCCCGATCAGGAGCCGGGAATTTCTCGCTCGCCTAGAGTTTCGACGAGGTGCAATTCATGGCTGAAGGCGGTTTCCGGGCGCCGAATGTAGCCTCCCAGGCGCTTTGGGCCTTGATCAACAGCGCGTCTTGACCGGCACGGGCAATTACCGAAAGGCCAAATGGTCTGCCATTGTAGTCGAGATACGACAGTGGCAATGTGGCAATTGGATACCCTGGAGGCTTTAGCATCGACGCTTGTGAGAGAGGGATTGCGTTTCATACATACCACCGCAAGCTGCATAGTTGATCAGCAGACTATCCGCTGGTGCCATGATCAAGTCAACTCTATACGTGTCGAGAATAAAGTCTATGCCCTTATTTCTAGCCACATCTCGGAGGTGCTTGAAGTGAGCGTCATACTCTTCCGCAGTGATCGACTGTTTGTAAGCTCGTACTAGGCGCTCCTGGTTCGGAGAATCTGGCCTGCATGTTATTGAAAGGTAGGGAAGAAGTGGTGTTCCCCAGCTTACAGGGAGAAAGTTCCAACTCCGCGTGTTGCTCGTTGAATTCGATGAGCTCCTTCAGGTTCCGAACTGTGGAATTGACTCGAGTTTCGAGATAGGCATTAATAGCTTTCACAAAGTCGGCAGCTGAACGTCGCATCAGTTCAGGATACCGACGGTGCGCTTCTCAGATCACCTACCGATAACTACAGTCTCACTGTTTTGGCCGTTTAGATCAAAGGCATCGTGACTGATCAGAGGCACATTGCCCGCATATGATTTAGCCAGTGTCTCGATTGTGGCGTACGCCCGTCGGATCTCTCTGTTCTGTTTCATGACTTAGCTTATGGAAGGAAGCAGATTGAAACGTGAACGAGCGAACCATTTGCTGCGTTGCGTTTTCGACTTGTCGCATCCAGGAATCCGGGAGTCTCCAGACTTGGGGATCTAGTGTAGCAACAGAAATATCACCCCAGCTCTGTGTCAAGGCAGAGGTATAGCTTGGAAGCTTTCGCTCGGGTTCAACTATTGCATCCAGGAGCACCGCCAGGTCATAGGGAGTCTTAGCCATAGGGCCAGCTGTGTCGAAATTTGGTGAGATAGGGACGATTCCTGCTTGCGGGACCAGGCCGATTGTCGGCTTGATTGTATACAGTGCGGCTCTGGCTGCTGGTAGGACGAGCGAGCCGTCGGTCTCGGTGCCGATGGCGAAAGGGCTGTAGCCCATTGAAACCGCGACAGCTGAGCCAGCAGAGGATCCAGACGGATTCTGGTTTCATATGGTTAGAACTCACCCATATCTGTATCCGCCCACAGACTTACGCTATGACCGTTGCTGCCGTCGTCTGGATCGACGCCGCCACGGACGTACGCGGACTGGACTTGGCCGCCAACAGCAGAGTAGCCGCTTGTTATATTCTGGCCCCTACACCATTTGTCAGTCGCAGAAACCCTGGGCGCTTGTGGTCGCACAAACTTGTAGTTTGACAATTCCTAGATAATGTCAATGAGTGAGACGATTATTGCACGGAGTTCACATACGCTCAAATTCGCCTTGCCAATAATTATGACTCCGGCCGCAATCAGCTAGCGTGGTCAAGACTATCAGCGGGTGCTGTTGCGTGGCTTCTTCGGAGTAGAACGTACCAAGTCGACTATGCGGGCATTTTTTTGCGGCCAGGAATCCGCGAGCGCATAGCTCCCTGCAGTGGTCTGAAAGCCAAGTTCGGGGTGTGTATCAATGTTGTCCTAGGGAGCGGTCAGTCCCGAGTCATTTATGACTGACACAGAACTCACTTTGATCACAATTGGGATGCCATGTAAAGGGCCTCGTATGCTCCCTTCAGATCGCTCTTTATCAAGCCTCTCAGCAGCTTTGAGGACACTCTGTAATGGTCTGAAATTGATCATTGCGTTCAGATAGTCGTCATGTTTCTGAATCTGGTCTGTATACAACCGTACCAGATCAACACTTCGCAAAGTCCCATTTCCAAGCAAGCCCTGTAGCTCTCTCAAGTCTGCTGTCAGAGGGTTGATGATAGAGGTACTGACCTCCAAGGCCACCGAACCTTGCGACTGAGCAACCGAGTACCATCGTGCGCCTAAAATGACTGCCACAAGGAGGGTAATGAGGGAGAAGATAACGTAGCGGTCTGGACGTCTGGCTTTGGGATCCATGAGGTGAATCTCTTCAGGCTTTGGAGTGCGAATTCGGTTGTCCGTGGTGGTTCAGTTTCAAGTCCTGTTCAGGTTCTGGTCAGGAATTGTGTGTGGCGGCGAGGCGCCGACAATGTAAGGTGAAGCTAGGCTTGGCTTGCGGCACCAACAGCACCTTCCAAATTTATTAGCATGTATCACACATTAGCCATTGTTAATTAGACTAGAGTCTCTGCGACAGCAGCAACAAGAAACACGCGAGAGGAGATCCATCACAACCCTGCACAAGGCTGGGCACTAATCAGGGGGTGGCGAATGTAACGGGCGACATTCTGCTCGACCTGAAAAGAAACTAATTAACGTCGCCAACAAATCGTGTTCAATCACTGCAATTACTACTTCTTCTCTCCGTGATCTACGGTATTCCCAGAAAGGGTGCTGCAATAGAAGACAAAGTCCTTACCGGGCTCTGGAAAAATGGATAGATCTCCATGGCAAACAGTCAAGCAAGCCTCCATTGGCTACCGGTACAGCTCAATATCGCATACGTTGCAATTCGTCCGCTCCTCAAGGCAACCCGTGGTCTCACATCACAGAGGAGACAACCGGATCATTTGACACGGGATCGCGAGAGGTTTCTTAGAGGAATCCCCCAAACCCATTTTCTCCGACTCCCTTTAGCCTCCTTCGGTTGCAGGTCATTAACAACGATGGTGTTTTCGTCTGACCCATCGCGTGTCACCCAGCACCTGGTCCTGTCGATGTCATACCTCTTCTCCATGTACGCGCATATCCTGCCCTTGTATTCTCGGTCAGCTTGAGCCGCTGCTACCACTCGGTCGAGGCTCGGACTGTTTGAGACAATGTCCGCACTGCTCAGGAGCCCTTTCGGCTCCTCCTGCAAAAAGGTGGGATGCCGCCGAACATGCAGAAGGGTCAGAGAGGCTTGGAAGACCAAGATGGCAAAGATGGCAAAGAACGCGTACGCGATCCATGGGACGACGTGGAGTCGGTTCTCGGACGACGTAAGCGTGGCGGACGCTGTCGTCACTCCTGAAGTCGGTTTATTCGCCACGGTGGCCGCGAGAAAGGCAAAAACAGTGGTGAAAATCGTGGAGATCGACAATATCATGTGTTCGGCAGAAATCCAGTTGCTAGGGTACTTCATTCGGGAGTAAGCCAGGACCACTGTGCCTAGAGACGAAGTAAAATCGGGTGATCCAGGGGTGAAGCGCTGGACATTCTGCAAATCTGACTCGAATGATGCCCAGGTGTCAAACCTAGCGTCACTGGTATGTTCCTCATCCGGACTGAACGCTAATAGTGGAGCATTCGAGATTGCTCTTGTGATGTTGAGATAGCCGGGCGTCATCCTGTATAATGGCATGCAGGAAATGAGGCTGAGGTTTGATAGTAAATACGGTGCATCCCCGTCGTAGGATCCGATAAACACAACCAGTCGGCTGAATCCGGTACCGCCAGGACAGAATAATTTCGAGCTTGTTTTAAGGTAGGTCGTTGAACCCCCGCTCACGCCGCCTTTAATCTCAACATCGCAGCCCCTGTCGGTAGCGGAGAAGGTGATTGTAGAACCCTCATCAGCATCTAGCCGATCTATCTGATAGTCTGTGAGACTTCGACATTCGAGATATGCCGAATAGGCCTGGATGTTGAGCGCTACGCTCACGCCATTTGGATCTTCAGACATTGGAGAGAGGTCGACGGCTGGGAATGCAAATTCTCCGTCAGTCCAAGGGGGGAGGTTCCCACCATGAACTCTCGCCGCTGATACAGTGTCAAGTATTGAACTGTAGTCGATAGATGAATTGATTGAGGAAGAGTCAAAGATTGTTGTCAATGATACTGGAGTCTGACGGTCGAGATTGACGTAGCTTGGAGCCATCAACCGAGCTGAGAAAGGGACGATGAACAAGGAGACAATCCACCCAAGCAGCATGCTGGAGCCGTGCAGCCAATGTCGATTCCGAAAAGCAAAAACCCAAGCGTATATCGATGGATAGGTTCGATAGTCCAGCATCAATGACTTTCTGACCGAAGTCCCCTTGTCAGAATATAACTCAGCAAATGGAACCTCGTTCAATAGTGCGGTGACAACAGAATCATAGTAGAAGCGGTACAGCGTAAGAAGAACCGAGGGCAATGCTGTCCATAGGAGACCCTGTTGCCATGAAATTTGCTGGCTGGATCCAGATGACGAGACGCTTTGATCTGCGACCGAGACAAATCCATCATCCTTCTGCGAGAAAGTAAGCAGAACAGCGACAACAGCAATGATGGCACAGTCAATTGTGATAATAACAATCAACGACCAGGACTTCAGCGACCACGATCTCCACATTGTGCAGTGATTGGAAATCGAGGTCGAAACAGGTGCGAGTTTGCTCGGACAAAAACAAAATAGGTAGAAGGCTCGCTAGCCTGACGGCGATTGATTTATTGTCAACTCCCAATCCTGTGACCTGTGTGTGTAAGGCAACGGGTTCACAGGGTCAGAAAAGGCAACGGTCGGTGGAAGCTGCCACATGACCTCGACGAAAGCCAGAAACCTTGTTGTTTTGGCCCTGCACTCCAATTTCGAGGCTCTCCCAGCATGCCGGGTAGATGGGGGACAGGCCTTCGGAGCAGAGCAGAGCCAACAACCAAGACAATCAACACAGCCGTTCTTGCATACACGAAAGCGCCGAGCACAGCGACAGGCGCCACATCCAGAAACAGCCGTCCTTGTTGGGATAGAATTTGGGGGCACAAAGTCAAAGGCAAACCTTGCTGTTGAACGGCTGAGACGAACGCCTCAAGCTTGTTGAGGGAATATAAGATAGTCCTTCTTGATTCCCACACATCCAGATCAGACAAAAGAGCTTCAAAATGCATTTCAGCGTATACTCGCTAATGAGCGTTGGGTTTGCAGCACTTGCGTCGTCGCAGGCACTTACGCTCGAAGCTTCAGATTGCGTTGGACCTTTGACTACTGCTTCAAACTGCAACTACTTTGCGAGTAAGCTCAATGCTTGCAACAGCCTAAGTGGCAGTGCTGCCGCTTCTTGCTACTGTCCGCAAACCGTCTTTGATGCCATTGTGCGGTAAGTAAACACGCAGAATTGGCAGAATTTGAGGGTTGACGGGGGCACAGATGCGAAGGAGAATTCAGGCTCTGCTATGCAGGAGATGAATTCGACCCTACATTTGAGGATCCGAGCACCGGGCTCATCACTCTCTGGCATTCGGCTTGCGACGAAGTAATCACGTATACAGTCACAACTCCAGTAGCAGCGGAGCCATCAATCACGATTGACCAGGATTTCTGTAACTCCGTTGCGAACGACTGCATTCGATTTGGTGAATTAACGGATGGCTGTACTGCATCCTACACAGCCGCGTCGGATATCCTCAGCTGCAATTGCCAGTCAAACATCATCAGCCTGGCAAACAGGTGCCAAATCGACGGCTCATCCTCTTGTTTCCTGGAGACGGTCGTCACCACGAATCTCTGGTCGTACAAGAACTGCCGGAATGGGGTGTCAGCAGGGAGGCAACTTACCACCATCACACCCGCGGCCACCGCGACTTTGAGCAGAACGTCCTCATCGGGGTCAGATCAGGGAGGCTCAATTACATCTGGAACGGCAGAACCAAGCTCGCTTCCGTCGGTGCCCGCCCTGTCCACGGCAACTTCCAGGGTGTCATCCTTGTCTGCGGCTTCAGCCCGGCCTAGTCTCTGGCATGTGATGGTAACAGCAGCCTGCCTCATAGCCTTACTGGTCGCCATGATGTGAGGAGGCAACCAAGGGAAAAGAATGAAAGAATGACGCAAAGAGGCAGAGGGGACAGAGGGGGCAGAAGCGGGCCAGGAGAAACCGGCTCACCAGCGAAGCCAAGGAGGTTTGGCTTTTTGCTAGGAATACAAATAGCGAATGACGTCAAAGCCAAGCATTTTTAGCGTCTGGGCGGACGTAGTTAGTCTGAACTTAGGGTAACAGGGAACACGATCAGCACAAGCAGCCGCCAGCAATCTTTGCGAATCTGTAATACGCTCCGAGCCTGTCTGATGAAAATAATCTCGATCCCAACCCGATATGAGCCTCCTCTCACCCGCCTCGGGGCTGCCAACCTTGAGTAAATCACGGAAAAAATGACACAGCACTCTCACGCATCTACCACACCATCCCGACCGCCCTTCACGCGCGGGGAAGTGAAACAAAAGTCAGCCTCATAAGGCTGGGTGGCAAAACTACCCGTGTTCAAACTCGAGGTCCTGCGTAAAGTTACGGTGACGAGGCCAAATCAACCGTGCCCTGTCAGCCTCGTGTATGCTGTGCTTTCTCTAGCTGGTTGATGCGCGACACTCAATCCGGCGGTTGGCTTTACAGAGGACGATCCCAACACCCCACTTTCGTTCTCGCGGCGTTGCACCTGGGAGATGATCGGGCCATCCACTTACGGTTCCGTCCAAGGTGGTTCCAGACACGGTCCCATGCGAAGCATAACAAACTCCCGACCTACTAGCATGGAGGTATACAAAACCTATTAAGCATTGATTACACTAAAACTATGGAAATATGATTCGACCTAAGCTCTGGCTACTCCTCAATCTCAGTATACAATCCCACACAATTATACACCAACCAAGCCTTGACTCCAAAGTCCACAAACAACTCCCCACCCCCGTGTTGACACGTCTTGTTCCAACTGCGGCCAGTATCACAGTTCGACGTCTCAAACATGGCCAGACAGCACGAGTCGATGTTCGGGGTCGTCCCGGAGCTGGTGTCGAACGTGATTTCGGCATCGGTGGGGATCGTGCTCAGGTCGGGCAGCGTGCTGATGTCGCTGGTGCTCTGGACCGTGATGCACTTGGTGTTGCGAGTCAGTTGATCGCCGTACATGAGGTACGAGGATCGGTCAAGGGAGTGGTCGTTTTCCCAGTATTGGTAGGGCTGCACGTTCACAGTCCAGCCGCAGATATCGCCTGGAACGGGGGAGGGGAGAGGGAAAGGGTTGGAGGATGTGGAAGGGGCCTTTGATGTCGTTGTTGTGGTTGTTCTTGTCGATGTAGTTGTGGATCGTGGAGTGGTTGTCACCTTGGATGTGGTTGATGTTCTCAGCGTCGTGGTTGGAGTGCTTTTGGTCGTTGAGGGGCTTGTCGTTGTTGTTATCCTCTTTGATGTTGTTGTCGAGACAGGAAAGGCACCAAATGCTTTACAATAGTCCTTCACGAGCACTATTTGTTCGTCTTCGTCGTCCTCCCACAGGTCGATATCGAGGAAGTCTTTGCTACCCGTCCAGAACTCAATCACACCGTCGACACTCATCGCGGAGCCTACATTGACGTCGAGTGAGACCCCATTCGGTCTTGTATCATTAGGGCAGAATCCGCCGTCCTCTGATGCGACGTTAGTTACACTTTCCATGGTATCTATCTCTTTTGTATTTTGGAGAATTCGATCCCCAAAGATATATTCCTGGATCTTGGTGATTGAATTGATGAGACTTACTATGTCCCAGCCTCCCGTCAAAGATGAAGATTGGGTCTTTGAAAACGAGCACCATCTCGAAACCCTGTTCGGGGACCTTGACCCACGGTAGTTTGAAGTCTTATCCCACGTTAGCAATGGGGGGTTCGAAGCCCAGCTATACTAGCCGGAATGGTCCCGAACAGCTCACCGGGGAACAGCGACACGCCAAGGGAGACGTTGAACACCACGGAAAACTTCAGACCGATACCCAACTGGGCGTCAATGCCGAACGGATCGACCTCGAACTCTGGCCACCAGTCGTAGAACTCGCTCTTGTCCGCAAACTCCGCGGCGCCGTCGACGGCAAAGTCAACCTTTGCCAGTGCGGTGTCGGGTATGCTGGCTGTGGCGCCCGTAGTAATGGTTGCCTCGCCCTCGATTGAGTCGACTTCGAAGCTGACGCCAACGTCCATAGTTGGACCAAGTTTGAGGATGTCTGGAATCTCGAATCCCCCGGGCACAGGGATCGTTGCCACTGTCTTGTTGTAGCTAGGCAGATCAAAGATAGCCGCGTCAGCTTTGCCTGACATTTCCATCTTCAAGTGGACACCGGCTTCGACACCACGAGGCTCTGCCCTCAACTCGAATATCTCGAACCCGTCAAAGATGGTCCACTTGACATGCCCGTGCACGGCCAGTGCACCCTGTATCCCGCAATTCTCGCAATCCACATTGATCTTGATCAGTGGGTTGGGGTACAGAAAGCGAAGCATTTCGGTAGGCCATGGGTGGCTTAGGTCGAAGATAGCCTCTCCTGCCTTATCGAAGCCTATCCGCCGCCTCTGGAGACCTGGATTGGCGACGCCGAAATCAATGGTGAAAGCTGAGGCTGCTTCTACCCACTTCTTCTGAACTGCAGTCAGGTGGATAGCTCGGTTGGCTGTGTCAAAGGTAGCATGGCTGATGGCCCAGGGAATGCGCCTGTTGCCCGTGTGGCAGACAGCAGAATCACCCACGAGGATAAATGTGCGGTTTGTGCCACCATTGACCCAGTCAAATGATACTTTCGCATCTTTGAATGTCTTTTGCGTCGAGAACCGCAGATAGAAATGTTCAGAGCAATTAGCCGTGACAAGTGCGGAGGAGAATTTCTCCATGTCAATGATTCTCTGTCCCGGATTTGGGATCACATTGAATAGCACGGTGGTCAACTGAGCGTCTAGTCTGGGTTAGTGGTACTCAAATCACATAATTTCTCTGTTTGGCACACCGCTGGGAGAGGTCCATATCAAATCTTCGTCGTGGCCAAGAGTAACATCGAACATGGTGGAGTTAATGGTTGGGGACGACGGGCCATTGGGATAACACGGGCAACAGCCTTCCACGGCACGTTTAATGTTTAGACGCCATCCATCCCAGAGACTGCGCTCCAGGGGTACCAGTTGCTCGACCAGTTGGCCGGTGGCTGACACGACTGCCCCATGCAGGGCAACCAGAACTATTACGAGGGTATGGGAATGCATTTCGATGAGAGTAGCATCAGTGTCAATGTTTCAGGCAGACAATGCGAAGCAGAGTTGAGCAGGGGGGTATTTCGCAAGGATGTTACCAGTGGGATTTATTGCTTTCGCAGCTGGTAAGTCGACCCATGCTTTGCGCAAAGGAAATCGAACTCGTACTTGCTGCAATGATCTTACCATGCTGAATCGACATGCGTGGGCCATCACTCCATCCCGAGAATATGTTGGGTCCTAAGATAAAAGCAGTTGAGGCCAAGAACTCCGTGGTATGATGCTAAGAGCGGAAGGCTGAGCTGGTTCGGGTACGTTGGAGGACATGGCTTTTGCAGTAGTACCACCGAGATCAGGCAAATGTCGACTTTCCTCCACTGCGAGTGAAGAAACCCGGTGTACACCTCTCCCAGTTGTTGAGGTAATGTCGACCCATCCCCTCTGCTCGCATATCAAATCCTAAGATGGTAATATCATCAACCTTGCGCCCAAGCGAGGCGTTAGAGAGAGCCGCTTAACAAGATACCCTCCTGCACCCTGACATACCAAGTAGAATCGCTAACCGGACCAAAGTTCCATGTCTCAGGAAATGCCTCGTGAAGCAGTCTCAAGGTAAGGAGACACTCGAACACAAGAAAGAGCCTAACAAGTCAGGTCCAATCTAGACGACAGAGTCTCAAATTTTGCAGGGAAGTGGACTGACGTCGCGCACCTCGACCGTGCCCGTCCAATCAGACATACATTGAGGACCTGAATCGTCCTTTGTGCCCGCATAGGTCCAACAGCATGGGAAGAGAAGCGCGGGGGATTGCGGCCATCGAAAGAGTGGGAAGATTGATTGCTCCTCGCCTGTTTCTGATCACGCATGGCTTTACCGAGTAATAAGCTTTGCTCTGCCGAAAATTGATTCTCGATGAGGACGTGCGAACCCATTTTGGGATGGTGGTCGTATGATGCGACGAATAGCAGACCAGAACCTTGGCCCCGCCAAGCTACTAGTGCATAAATAATCATGCCATGGGTGCATTGGATCTGAGCTAGGCATTTTCTTCCTTTTCTCCCCCCCTTTCCCTTAAAGGAAGACGAGGGTGGAACCACAGCAAAAAGAGTTGCTTGCATTCGCTTTTACCACAGCAGTTGGGCGTCCCTCAACAGTACTTGTGGTCTTACAGTCCTAATTAGCACCTCTCGATTGGATGACCTCGCCACGGAGAACGAAACACTGCAGCACACAGACATCGTGCAGTCTCCAGTTCGGAACCATTCAACAGTCATTAGGACGCGCCTTATCCATACGTCAAACCCTCAAGTCCAAGTCCGATACCACGCTGCTCTTTGTTCATGTTAGCATAACAAGGCTCGCTGGCATTGGAGGCAGCTGGAAGGACCCAGCACATGAGTGCCTTGCATGCCGGGCAAATCATAAGGGTGCACCCCTCCGTCGTCTCTATGGGAGTCGTGTACTTCGGGTAATCTTTGATGTTAAGTTCCCTCTTCAGTCTCTTCAGCGCTTTACCGCCACCAGATTTGATGTCTCTGGACCCCGCACACGTATAATCGCCTTGTCGCTCATGACGAGAGGTACAAGGGCTCTTAAGACAGTTTGGGCAGGTGTATTCTGGAGGCTTAGGGCTCGAATGCGTGGTGCACCGGCAGATAAATCCACAACCTAGAGTGGGACAATAGCAAAACCTTCGGGCTGACGTTGTATGTACTCCTCGAAAGATGATTTGAGAACGACTTCAAAG